CTATGTAAGTTTATATGTAATGAGAGCTCCTTTTGCGAACTTTTTGAACAAATGAAATACACGGAATGTTTCTTTATTAATTAATAAAGGTCAGTCTCGAAGATTATATTGTCAATTAGTAAGAAGTAATATTAATTTAAAGGAACCGCTTCGGGCCCCTAAATTACCTCTGGGTTCGAGGAAAAAAATTACCTGATTTCCCTCTCGACGGCCTTATATATTGTGTATTCTGAATTATACATGTACTGTACAATAATACTAAAATGTGGGACTATTAGTAATATATTGTGAATTTATAGTATAAATCCACATCTATTTAAATCACTATTTGTTATAATTTTTTTTTAAATTAATCTACCTATTCGTTGTGTGTTAATATACAAATAATAGAGAAAATATAAACCAAATACAGGCATTGTTTATATATTAAGATTTATCATTCGGGTAATTGTTTGTTTATTAATAGATAAATTATTACGTGTAAGGCGGAAAAAAAATTCCCAATTAACCTAATTAATCATAACAAAATGAGAAATTCGTCGAACTTGTTAACGGTGGCAAATATTTGATTTGTATTCAAAGAGAAATTCCACAGCTAATCATAACAAATTCCGACAGTTTTGATTAATTTCACTCTCGATCCATTTAAATAAATTACAATTTAAAACAGATTCTTTAATTATCTCGAAAACAAACCATTAAATCAATAAAACGATTTCCGAGTTACCTAAATCGATATTTAACTTTTTTCTTCACAGATGGAGACACTCACAATAAAACAACCCCCAAAAAAATTTATTAAAATAATTATTCGTGTAGTGGCATATAAACACGCCCAATGATAATTATAATTAACCTGTTTTAAATAGTACCAAAATACAAAAAATAATAATAATAATAATTAACCGTAGGAAACGTCATTGATGATGATTCCTTGGTAGGATGTAAAAATATCCTAAGCGTAGTTAGTTTTTATCGAGTTATTCTAATGTCAATTGTAAATATAAACTTTTTAGAGGTTGACTTTTTAAAGCTACTAGAACTGTGACGTCATCCACGGGAGGGCGACAGCGTCATACTATCACGTGCGACACAGGGCGAGGCTTCAGTCAGTAGCTTAAGTAGTGCGAAACGGATCACTTATCTCGTCAGTTAGTGTTTATGAATGGATGAAACGGTCGATTATCTCGAGATTTGTAATAGGTAATCAAATATGGAAGATAACCAAGCGATAATAATACGTCGGAATTTATCCGTTGAAGATTTCCTTATAGAAACTCTTGGTGAAAAACAAGTACCATTAATTACTGCAATATCAATGACTATGGTGTATTCGATTCTACTAGTAACTGGCGTTGTGGGTAACATCTGCACGTGTGTAGTGATAACACGCAACAAGTACATGCACACAGCTACTAACTATTATTTATTCAGTTTAGCCGTTTCTGATCTTCTCCTACTCATATTGGGCATACCACAGGAGATACATCAATTGTGGCAAAGATATCCTTACGTTTTAGGTGAGGTGTTTTGCATATTTCGTGGCATGACTTCGGAAACGTCCACTAATGCTTCTATTCTAACTATCACTGCATTCACTGTAGAGAGGTACATGGCTATATGTCATCCTCTAAAAGCGCATACCATGTCCAAATTGACTAGAGCCATTAAACTGATAGTGGCCATTTGGTGTTTGGGTGCTATTTTTGCCATTCCAGTAATTGTACAGCTTGGCATTGTCGTTCAGGTGGACGATGGTGTAGCATTGGAAGAATCTGCAACCTGTTCTCTAAAGAATCCTTTTGATCAAGCTTTCGTGTTTTCTACGGTGTTCTTCTTTATGTTGCCAATGACCGTAATTACTGTTTTATATATATTAATTGCCATACAATTAAGACGTTCTTCGATTAGCAAAAGGAACAATTGTATCATTAATGGTAAAGTTCAGCAGAAAGGACTCTGTATTAAAATCACCAGGCCAGATAAATCTCTAGGTAAAAAACTTCAAAGTTCTAGAAGGGCTGTTGTCAAAATGTTAGGTGAGTTATTTATTTTATTTCAGTTATATACATGTATTATATGTATTATGCACGTCAATAGTTATGAAATTACTTCAGTATACTTTTACAACCTGTAAATTTGTATTTTAAAAGTTAAAAATTACGTATAAAACATTTAATTATTACGTGTAATATATTAAAACATTAAACTTTATCTAACCCAATTTAATAATTAGGTTAGATAAGTTCGTATTCAGTCGTAAATTATACAGATTTTCCTGTAAAAAACGGTTATAATTTATAAGCAATATATTTAATTATTTATTTTTTTTTAAATTATAACACTCTTATCGCATTTTACAGCATTTCAATTTAATATTAAGCGTATAATTTGCTTTTTTTAAGCTGTAAATTTAAATTTTAAATATAATAAATTAATTTTTAAAAATTAATTTATTATATTTAAAATTTAAATTTACAGCTTAAAAAAAGCAAATTATACGCTTAATATTAAATTGAAATGCTGTAAAATGCGATAAGAGTGTTATAATTTTAAAAAAAATAAATAATTAAATATATTGCTTATAAATTATAACCGTTTTTTACAGGAAAATCTGTATAATTTACGACTGAATACGAACTTATCTAACCTAATTATTAAATTGGGTTAGATAAAGTTTAATGTTTTAATATATTACACGTAATAATTAAATGTTTTATACGTAATTTTTAACTTTTAAAATACAAATTTACAGGTTGTAAAAGTATACTGAAGTAATTTTATAACTATTGACGTGCATAATACATATAATACATGTATATAACTGAAATAAAATAAATAACTCACCTAACATTTTGACAACGGCCCTTCTAGAACTTTGAAGTTTTTTACCTAGAGATTTATCTGGCCTGGTGATTTTAATACAGAGTCCTTTCTGCTGAACTTTACCATTAATGATACAATTGTTCCTTTTGCTAATCGAAGAACGTCTTAATTGTATGGCAATTAATATATATAAAACAGTAATTACGGTCATTGGCAACATAAAGAAGAACACCGTAGAAAACACGAAAGCTTGATCAAAAGGATTCTTTAGAGAACAGGTTGCAGATTCTTCCAATGCTACACCATCGTCCACCTGAACGACAATGCCAAGCTGTACAATTACTGGAATGGCAAAAATAGCACCCAAACACCAAATGGCCACTATCAGTTTAATGGCTCTAGTCAATTTGGACATGGTATGCGCTTTTAGAGGATGACATATAGCCATGTACCTCTCTACAGTGAATGCAGTGATAGTTAGAATAGAAGCATTAGTGGACGTTTCCGAAGTCATGCCACGAAATATGCAAAACACCTCACCTAAAACGTAAGGATATCTTTGCCACAATTGATGTATCTCCTGTGGTATGCCCAATATGAGTAGGAGAAGATCAGAAACGGCTAAACTGAATAAATAATAGTTAGTAGCTGTGTGCATGTACTTGTTGCGTGTTATCACTACACACGTGCAGATGTTACCCACAACGCCAGTTACTAGTAGAATCGAATACACCATAGTCATTGATATTGCAGTAATTAATGGTACTTGTTTTTCACCAAGAGTTTCTATAAGGAAATCTTCAACGGATAAATTCCGACGTATTATTATCGCTTGGTTATCTTCCATATTTGATTACCTATTACAAATCTCGAGATAATCGACCGTTTCATCCATTCATAAACACTAACTGACGAGATAAGTGATCCGTTTCGCACTACTTAAGCTACTGACTGAAGCCTCGCCCTGTGTCGCACGTGATAGTATGACGCTGTCGCCCTCCCGTGGATGACGTCACAGTTCTAGTAGCTTTAAAAAGTCAACCTCTAAAAAGTTTATATTTACAATTGACATTAGAATAACTCGATAAAAACTAACTACGCTTAGGATATTTTTACATCCTACCAAGGAATCATCATCAATGACGTTTCCTACGGTTAATTATTATTATTATTATTTTTTGTATTTTGGTACTATTTAAAACAGGTTAATTATAATTATCATTGGGCGTGTTTATATGCCACTACACGAATAATTATTTTAATAAATTTTTTTGGGGGTTGTTTTATTGTGAGTGTCTCCATCTGTGAAGAAAAAAGTTAAATATCGATTTAGGTAACTCGGAAATCGTTTTATTGATTTAATGGTTTGTTTTCGAGATAATTAAAGAATCTGTTTTAAATTGTAATTTATTTAAATGGATCGAGAGTGAAATTAATCAAAACTGTCGGAATTTGTTATGATTAGCTGTGGAATTTCTCTTTGAATACAAATCAAATATTTGCCACCGTTAACAAGTTCGACGAATTTCTCATTTTGTTATGATTAATTAGGTTAATTGGGAATTTTTTTTCCGCCTTACACGTAATAATTTATCTATTAATAAACAAACAATTACCCGAATGATAAATCTTAATATATAAACAATGCCTGTATTTGGTTTATATTTTCTCTATTATTTGTATATTAACACACAACGAATAGGTAGATTAATTTAAAAAAANGCATATGGTTAAGTTTAAAAAATATATAATATATATATATATTTGTAAATTCTTCAAGAAACAATTACTCTATAAAATTAATTAATTTACTCCCGAATCAATTGATTAGCAGGTGATTAATACGTTAACACCGTTAATTGTTTATCATCCGGTTAGGAGGAAGGACGTAGCTGCTGATTGAGTTAATAGTTGCTTAACATTTAAAATACTAATCGCACCATTTATTTTTTTTAAGACACGTAATAATGGTGAAAGGAAGGTCGAGTACTACATCCTTATAAACATTTATAGGATCAGCTACTAAATTATTTCATAACAACAACTTACTTATATGGTCTTATCAACGATTTTCCTTATACATTTTATTGTATAAAAATTGGATTTTCCTTTCTTTACTCTTACTAAAATTATTATTTTTCTTTATTAAATTCCTCAATTCCTAACATATCAAATATTTTTTCTTGTTATTATTATTATTAAATATGTATTTTTATTTTAATATATCATTATAAATAACTATAGACCATAAACCAGTGGCATGTATCCTATGGGTAAAAATGACAATTGCCTGGGGGAGCCTTCGTTAACAGGAGCGCATTATAATCTCATGGGGTTCGGAAAAATTTAAATTAGGGGGCTCCGTGTATATGTTAACTTGGACAGTTTTCTTCTGGAGAATGTTTTGGGGAAATATTTTCATATACAAGTAGACCCCCCTATAACACTGTTAATAATTCCGTTTTATATGAATTCCATGTTGTACGAGTCACTTAGATTTTACAAATACGTAAGCCGTTCACAACCCGGCACACATATTTGTAAAATCTAAGTGACTCGTACAACATGGAATTCATATAACATGGAATTATCAACAGTGTTATAGGGGGGTCGACTATAAAAGATTGGTTTGGAGTCCATGCAGCGGCACGTTATCCTATGGGTAAAGAGGGTAATTGCTTAAGGCCCTCACTAACGGATGCCCCAAACATTTAGTGAGGGCCCTAAAAAAATATAATACATAAATTTGAGCCTGGTGAAATAGTTAATGACACAAGTGGGGCAAGTTGAGGTAGAACCTTTTGGTGTTGAAGTTTGTCCTTAAATTACGTAAGAATATTATTGCAGTTTTACAAAAATAACTAATTTATATCCTGAACAAGGTAATAAAAATCTAATATATTTTATCACGGAGGAAAAAAAAATTACAAAAAATATAAATGATGTAGCATAAAATTTTAAATTAAACTAATCGCGGGGTAAGATGACGAATATCTTCTCTTAGAATATTTTGTTGACGACAGTCTAGTAATTTGAGTATATTTCGCTTTCCACGATTATACACAAATTATTCAGTGTATTAACTTACAAACCAATTATATATAAGTTTATATATGAGATTCACTAGGTTTATATTACAGTGATTAAAATTAAAATTTATATTTTTAATTCATATTTATTTATATAAATAAATACGAAAGGAAATAATCGAATATTTTTTTTTAAAGCACGATCCGATTTTCAATTACATATTCGTCATCTTATTCCACAGATTAATAAATGCTTTATTATAAGGCCTAAAAATTCATTACATGAATAATATAAGAAGAATTTTGACAGTCCTTTAATAGAAAATTCATAAAATAAAGTGGAATGTAAAGATATTATCTATGTTATGATTCTTGAAATATCTAATTTTAGCAGATGCAACAAAATATATTTATCTTAACAACTTTTAAAAACACTCCTGTTGAATTTTTCTGCTGAATATCTAATAATATAAACATTTAAATGGTATCACATTATCAGAAAACTTTTTTAAGACCATGAGATTAAAAATTGTAACGTTTTTTCCCAGTTATCTCCACTTAAAAATTAGCTAGAATATAATATATATATATATATATTTAACTTGAGGATGATCTTGAAGCAACTGATTTAAATAGATGTGGATTTATNTTATTTGTATATTAACACACAACGAATAGGTAGATTAATTTAAAAAAAAATTATAACAAATAGTGATTTAAATAGATGTGGATTTATACTATAAATTCACAATATATTACTAATAGTCCCACATTTTAGTATTATTGTACAGTACATGTATAATTCAGAATACACAATATATAAGGCCGTCGAGAGGGAAAGCAGGTGATTTTTTTCCTCGAACCCAGAGGTAATTTAGGGGCCCGAAGCGGTTCCTTTAAATTAATATTACTTCTTACTAATTGACAATATAATCTTCGAGACTGACCTTTATTAATTAATAAAGAAACATTCCGTGTATTTCATTTGTTCAAAAAGTTCGCAAAAGGAGCTCTCATTACATATAAACTTACATAGTACATGCAAACTAAGATAAAAGGGCCCTCCGAGGTGCAAAAGGGGTCCGCACTACTTTCGGCCAATCAAAATATCGACAATCCTGTAAGTTATATATAACCTAATATATATATATATGCAGGACTATCGATAATAGTGCGGCCCCCTATATATATATATATATATATATTCAAAAACAATGGCATATATATAATGTTTGCACGTAGTCTATAAGTATACACATACGTAATATTGTACACATTCCATGCCATACATAGTTACATATAAATTGTAATATAAGCTGAATGTAACGTATAAAAGAATCAAGAACAACGTTAAAAAAAGAAAATATTCATTTGA